TTTTGGCAACTCAACTTCCTGTATATTTGTAGATGAGGCCCATGTGTTGCATTTGGAAAGTTTCAGGATTCTCAGTGACTAAGTCAGAACAGTTGAGGATGAAGAGAGGAAAAGCAGAGACTTTTTTTGTAAATAATATAATTTCTATCTTGTCTGCTTCGTGATGGCTGTGGTTTTACGTGTGCATTTAATGTTAGTTTTTAGCACCTTGCTTGTAACTGAAGTATTGAAACTTTTACAGGAAACTTATTTTGGTTGTTTTAAACATGACTTCAGTGTTACATAAAAATTATTAGAGGTCTATACAACTATGTCAAATAACAATATGTGTCTATACAGAATGCCATAAACATCAAATTGTATATGTTTACCAGGTTACTTTTATGCTTCATAAGCTTTTTCAGCTATAGACAACCTCCCTCTGAGAAACAGATACAGTATACCTTGTGACTTTTAAAAATAACCTTTAGTTTGGGTGAATGAATGTAAATAACACTGGAGGGAAACAGCAGAAAATACTCTAATGCATCGCTGAGCCATCGCTATACAAGTATATATAGAGGAATATATACAGATGGTCGTGAAGAAATGTATTGGCATTCAGTTCTTGTTTCCATATTCTGCAGCTGCACATCACAACATAGTACAGACTTAATTGCCCTTTGTGGCTAGAATTCTGCCATCTTCGTGAATCTTGATACTTTATTTTGTGACATAGTTGATCTCAGTTGTGCAACTTAGAGGATGAGTTATCAAGTATGAAAAATGATGGCAGAAATCTGATATGTAACAACCATCATAGCTGGCTCTATTTTAAGCATGAGATAAGAAGTATTCTGTTAAGACAAAACTGGCAAAATTACTGTATTAATATAAGTCTTTTAAACAAAGCTTTAGAGAAAATGCGTGGCTAAAATGGATGTTGCTGGTGTATAAACTGAAAGTGCAATGAACATTTTTGGTAGGTATGAATACAGATCTTAATAACAGAAGCATTTGTTAGAAAAGAGCCTTTACTTAATAATGATTTGCATTTATAATGCTACTATCTGAGGGTTTTGGGTCAGAATGCACTCAACATAGCACAGAATCAGGCCAGTAATGTCCCTTCACATTGTCATAAAAACAAACCCAGAATGCCTCTATGGAGAGGGTAAATTAGTCTCAGAAATTCTTACTGCATTTAGCATTTACTTGTATAAAAAAAAGTAAAAGACTTTCAGGAAGAAATTACGAGATTACTCAGTTATTCTACATTACCTTTATTAGACATAAAAAAAACCCTGAAATTGAATAGCTTCGTTACTGCTTAAATAAAAGCATTCAGAGGATGACGAAAGTTTGCTTTCTAAACACTACACTGGCTTCACTCGCTTTCATACACTTAGCGGCAGTTACTTTTATGGTATGCACAACTAATAGTTGTGCAGGTAAAATTACTCATGAATTTATTTAAAGGATTGGACATACTGTATTTCAGTGTGGCTCGGTGGATTTAAAAATCTTTATTTTTTCCAGATAACTGGTAGGAGCTTAATAAAACATGGGAATAGATATTTTTACACTGCTCTGAAGCATAATACTGCAGCAGGTATCTTCACATGTCAGTCATCATTCAGTACCAAGCTATTAGTTATACTGGTTTCACACCTGAATGGTGTAGATCTGCCTACTGTGATAATCCTACACTTTGATCTGTACCTTCAAAAAGCAATTGTTTTTGTGACACAAGGTATTATTACACTAGTCTTACTTTAATGAGCTGTATGTATGAAGCCTGATATTAATCCAAACTGCCACACGTGAAAGCTGAGAACTCTGAGAAACATCATTCACAAAGGTGCTTGAGTTCATGTGAACAGAATGGTTTGTAACCATCCTGTGTGCTTTTGACAACAAGACCTCTTCTGACCCTCACAGGCTGATAAATGAATGTGCTTTTTGAACCCTGTAGTTCTCTTCAAGTCATCTGCTAAGCCACAGATAAGATTAAGAAAAAGAGATGAGTGTCTGCTAAAGGGGATACAAGGCTTTGTCACCCTGATTTCTGCCTAGCAGAAGTTGGGTACCATGTTTGCAGTTGCCATCATGTGGTGGGAGGATAGGAGGATGGCAGGCTGACTGCACCTGGATGGAAGTGTTCTGCCCCTTTTGTGAGGTGGTGACCATTTCAGAGTGCAGTGTTAACTTCATTTTGCTCTGCTGTTGCTTTGAAGGATATAATAAATAGTTTGAAGATGTCATGAACCAAAAAGCCAATTTCATTGTTGAACAACAATGTAGAACTATAGTAATAGTCCTTGTTAGTGTTGTATATTACGAGTGCTTCATCTCATTCATAACACATGAGGTAAACTAATGATAAATTACAGTGCTAGAGTGTACTAGGTCAGTTTGAGAAGCAGGGATGTACATATCACATCCCACTGAAATAATTCCTTTTTTTTTTTTTTTTTTTTTAAAAATAACTGAGCATCTGCAAAATGTCAAAGGTTAAGTACCCTGAAGCTTGGTAGCAAAGTAGGAGTAGTGTCATACTCTGTTCTGAGGATGTCCTTTCTTTTCTTAACATTGAAAAAGTCAAAACCATCAGCTTCCTGTGAAGTTTCAGCTTATGACCAGGTTTCTATTTTTTAAAGGAAAGTTTAAGGGAAGAGCTATATTTAAGTGGGTGTCTGAGGAGACAAAAATTAACTGGGGTTTCATAACCAGCACTGGGGTGGCTTACGTTCTGTGCTACTACAGATTGGTTAAGAGCTAACTCATCAAAAACTGTGGTATTTTGCTAGTCTTGTACTACTGAATTGTGCTCAAAGGGGACAGCCTTTTGAGATACCTTAAGAAAGTTTTCCTTTAAGCACTTCTTGCTAAAATTAAATGGATAATATTAAGGGGAGGAAAAATGCTTACAAAAGCTGTTAGAATTACATTACATATGGATATAGCAATATCCATGGTTTGAAAATTTGGCCAATACATTGAGGAAAAAATGTTCAGGTGTATTGGGAGTTATACAGGGCAATGTAGCAAAGTTAAATTCAGCGTTACTTTTAGAATTTGCTTGGATTATTATGCTTGATTTCTTATGTCTAATTCAATATTCATTTTGCATTCATATGATTTAAGATAGAAATTTCAATTACTGTTTTGACCAAATATATATTGCTAGGTTATATCATGCAGCAATGATTTACAAAAACTAAATAGTCTTTTTCCAGGAAACTTCACAGAGATTTATTTTGTTTTCAACAGGCATAATATTTTCCTGAATCAGTGAAAAAACATATAGGTTGCTTTCTGGAAAATATTGTCTATAAATTTTTTAACACTTCACCTTTTACTTTGAATTTTAAGGATACTTACCAAAAAGGAATGAATAACCACATCTGATTGTGGCACTAATAATTTTCAAGGATAAATTATCCTAATAAGCAGTGGTGACCCATACTTCATAATGTGTTCAGTATTCTGTAAAAAAACCCCAAATATAAGCCGCAGTATATTAAAAATGGGGTAAATATATTCTAATAACTGGCATTAAACTAGCTGTTTATTGTTATTTGTAAAAATGAATAATTGGTTGTTGTAGCCCAGTAGTAAAAGCAGCAATAATGTAGTATGGAGATACGGTGTCCACTTGTTGCATCGAGGTATTTGTCTGAGAGATTTCAGTAGTGTGAGTATGTCTGTTAGTTTCTAGTTATCTTAGAAGGACATTGCAGTATCATGCGGATCATCAGGTTATACATATTTTTTAAACTGAGGTAGACTAATTGTGAGCATTGTAGTGATTTAAGTGGTTGACTTTTAAAAAAGTGTGTTAATTAAATTTGTTTAAGTTTCTTGCACTGAGAAGGAAGGCTCTGAAGTACATTGATAGTTCGGAAGAGGTTAGATTCAGTAATGCACATTTTAATTGAAAACTAAGTTTAGAAGGGGCAGTCGAGTAGAAATCCTCCTTGGTTGTTGAAACCTAACTTGCTGCATAGATTACTTAGAGTACATTTCTAACTTGAGAAAACTAAGGAAAAACAAGGTAGTCAACAGTTTAGCAGCTGTGGAGTTTGGGGGGGTTGTTTGGTTTTGGGTTTTGGGGGTTTTTTTGAGAGGTTTTGTTTGCCTATGTAGTTTCTGGATAGTCTACTGGTCACTGGAATTCTTACAAGCGCCTACATGTACGTTCATGGAAGGCGTAACTCAATCAAAATTGAGAACAACTTTAGGGGAATAGCTTTGTTATTCATCTCTAAATGGTAAATACTTATTTTAAATGTAGACCTTGAACCGTATTGGGGTAGACTATACTTTCACTGAAAGTACCTCTGAGGAAATGGGAAATTTTTTGGTAATGTTTTTTAAAAGTCTGGAAACAAAGCATTGATTTAAAATCACATGGTGTAACCACCTTCCTTTTTCTTGTGTGCCATTATGTAAAAACTGTACTATTTCATAATGAAAGCATTTCTTCTGTGGGCAACTGAGAGTTTACCAATATTTTACTTAAATGCAAATTTGTTAATGTGAGAGGAAAAGTAATATTCCCATCAATAAGTGATAACATTGTAAGTAGTGAATGGTTTCAATGTATTTTAACAAAAGTTGACACAAGTTTAGATTTTAAAATCATAAACCGGAATTAGTTCATTTAATATAATGAGTTATGTTGGTAGGGCAGGGCGTTGTTTTCAGGTAGCTGTGAAAGGAAGCTTGGAGAAGAGAGAGGATGTCAACTTGGACTTCATACTTTTTAAGTAACAGTTTCTTGAAAATGTGGGACAATATTTATTCTCCTTTACTTCTCTCAGTAATTATTCTCTCTTCTTACAAAATACCCATGATGTGTTTTCTCCGGTGCGAAATAATCTCTTTCCCCAAATTTATTTTAATTTTTTTCTTCATAACCTTTTGTTAAATGTTTACCACTGTTGTTTCCTGGGAAGATAATATAGAATCTCCATCATATACTGTAAGATTAAATATTATTTCAATATTTTCTGCAGGAGCACCTGTCATTAAAAAAGTACATTGTGGATATTGTGATTGAGAGTTCTGTTCCTGTGGAACCATTAAAAGATGGAGAGGAGAAACAAAAAACTAAAAAGAAAGCCAAAAAGCTAAAGGCACGAATGAATTCCAGGTAGTAACATTTTTTTTTTTTTTCTTTAAGTTTTGTTTTAAACTTTACCTTTTGTCCTTTAGTATGAGTGCAGTGGAAGGCTGAAAAAAATTAAAATTATTTGCTTTGGGAGTGTCTTGAAAATAACACTGATGAGCCTAATTTATGGCCACTTTCTCTGATTGAGAAAGAAAACTGAGTATCGATCTGGAGCCCTTGGTTTCACCTGTTAAGAGCTTTTCTCATAATTGGATGCCAGTGCCCTGCCAAAACTGTAGCCTCCTCTAGCATACAATAGCGTGTTTAAATTTGTGTAAACCATGCCTATTTTTCTTTTTAGCTATTGATTTTTAAATGAAGTATCAAAGAAAATCAATAGTAATCAACAAATAGAAGTCAGCCAGCTGTGGTGTCAAATCCCATGACTAAATTTAATCATTTTTTGTTGCCTGTCACAACAAAAAGAAAGTTAAAAATATCTTAAAATGGAAAGTGAGTTGTCAGACCTGCAATTTGTTATTAGTCTAAAAAGTGACATCTGCAAATCAGTATGATATGCAGGACGTCATTATGTCGTGAACTGGCAGTGTGAGTTTATAGCTGAATGGTCCCCAGCTGAGGTTAATACTTAACTGAATATTATAATGTATTTTTGCATTTATCTCTAAAAAAACTTCTCAGAAGGCAGGAGTCATTGTTTTGTATTTGCTCTGCCTTGTTTTTAAGTGAAAAGGGTTACAAATAAGAGAAAAACACCTGAATGGTTTTTTAGAGCTACAGTAAAAATGAGATGTTTTATTAACTCATAATAGTGCTAATAATGGCACATAGTCTTCAGAAGCATAGTACTTTTACAATGTATTACTGTTTCTGATTATTTTCCTCTTTGGATAAGCAAATGCACTATCTGCACACGAAATTAGAACATGCTGTTGAAACTGGATAACATATTCTTCCAGATTTCTACTTGCTCAGGGTGTAGAGTTATTCGTATTACCTGTTTGTTTAATGGAGTTACTGGGTCCAATTTTAATACTTTCTCAAGAGCTGCTTCTGTTGAGTTTAGTCAAAGATTTGTCAGACCTAGGAATACAAGCTCAAATAATAATTTGTTATTGGCACTAATATTTGAAAAACTTTGATAGAACATTTTGAATTCTTACGTGTCAGACTGCTGGATGAGTCGGCATATTTGTCATTGAAAGTTATAATTAAAACAGTAATAAAGGAGCATCATTTTACAAAGGTGATACACTCTTGAAAAATGCAGTGAAAGTTTCAAAATCTAAGAGGAATTATATTTGTGAGACATGAAATTCATGTTCATTAGGCTTTTTTTTAGTGTTAAAGGGTGACTAAGCTTTTCAGTGGGATTGCTGTCCTTGAAGATAACTGAGAGTTAAATTGAAGATTTCACCATGAGTTTTCTAATGTTAATGCAAAAGACTTACTAATAAAAATGTCCAGTAGCAATATGAAGCAAAGGTTGTTCCATGGAATTTCAAACAAAAAAAATGATGAGGAAAAAAAAAATCCATTTGGGAAATTAATTTTAGCCGTGCAAGTCTTGCCAGTCTTCTATAGTTAGTATAATTGATGCCTGAGTAATAGTGATAGGCATAGTAATGACAAATACTGCCTGGATGCTCGTGCATGTAAGCTTATTACTGGTGAGATGGGGAGGTTTTATATGTTCAGAAAATGAAAGAGGATTATCTTAGATTATGTGGCTAAAGCAATTAAAGCAATAACCTCAGAATTATGATATGAAATACTAAATTAAATAGTTTAGGTATAATGTCTACTATGTTTCTGCCAGACAACCTGGACAGTACTACCACCAGATGGCTGGGAGTTTACTGCTCAAAATCAACTCAAAACTTAGGTGGAATATGTAGTTAAAGTACTTAATAATCAGTTTATTGAGGATGGGTTGAAGGTGACTATTTGATACTGATAATTCACATAGTTTCATAGGTGTTAGCAGATTATCTACAAACCATGTTTTAGTATGTATTTGCAGCTATTCCTCTTCTCTAGAAAAGGAAATAGTTTTAACAAACCTCCTTATACCTCAAGACTTGAAACTATACATTCATTTCAGTTTCTAGGAAGCTACTATATTTTAAACTTGGAAAAAAATAAGTAACTACATCCAAATAGGTTCCTGTTGCTCTCCTGAGTTTCTAGATCTTAAATCACTATTACAATATCAAAGCAATGAAGGGCAGAGGTGAATGAGAGGACAAATTGTGATCAATGGGTTATTAGATTTGTTGAGAAGTTTTGTTAGTCTTATTAATTATATTTATAACCCTAAGCCATTAAACTGGTGCTGTAGTAACAACTGATATATAGCTAAGTAAATTATCTCAGGTTAACATACATGTGCTGCTAGCAGAAGAATACTTTGATACCCACATGGTGAAAGGAGGCTTGATGAAAGCTAACCTCAAGCAATAGAGGTGTAGTTGCCAGTTAGGAAGTATATACAGTTGAGATGTTTTGCAATGGATTTAAAGCACTCCAGTCATGTTCATTTAGGTGATTTTTTTCATTTTATTTTAGGTGATTATTCATGTTTGACTGACTTGTCTGTACAAAACTTGAAGCTGAAATGTGTTGTTTCTGGCTAAGAGGCAGGAAAGAAGGCAAAAGGTTAATAAAGGAATCTCACCTTCATGTTTAATACTAAATTCAGTTGTGATTAATAGCTTTATTAATGATCCACAAATCAAAGCTAGTGGTAATATAACAATATTTGCATGTAGCATAAGTTGTATAGGTTAAGCAAGCTAAGGGAAAATTTGGGTATCTTTGGAAAACTTGATCCACTTGGGTGAACAGAAAATTTAAAGAAACATTTAGTATGTGTGTCTGAGAGAAACGATAGGAATTAAATCTTTACTAAAAATTTTTTTTTTGCAGTGAAGCAATGAAACACATTTCCCATTGGAAGCTGTTGTCAAAATCTTAAATTTGGAAAAAACAATTGGACACTTGTAAAGTTGGCAAGAATGTCAACTGACAGCATTAATAGTCAGAATACCTTGAAAATTAATAGGAAACACCATTTTTATGGGTGAAGGTTGCCCAGAGGCAGATTTTTTTCTACTTCTGTCCTGAGGAGCTTTTGGCACTTTCCTCTGGGAGTTACGGCTGCTCTTGGTAGAGACAGACAGATCCCATACCTAATCACAGATTTAGTCCAGCATGCCACTTAACTTTCCTTCAGATGTATGTACATTATTTTTTTTTTTTAACACTTTTCCAAGCCATGAACAAGTCCCTTGTTCATCTGAGAACACAACCTCAAGAGGCTTGACCAGCAGGTCTCCCTGAAGTCCCTGGAGATCCATGTTGCATCTGTGAAGTCTTCATTTCAGAATGATAATAGAAAGAGCAATTTTAACAGATCAGATCTTTTTAACAGCTAAATGCTTTTACTGTCTGCTGGATGTTTCTTTGCCACAGGGCTCTGTCTCTGAGAATTGAATTTTTCTGCATCACTGTAGTGTCTGGGTTAGTTTTACTTTGTGTGTGTATGTTAAGAAAAGGTTACAGGTTTACCACTGTGAATCCTGTTTTGGTTAATGAGCTGGTCATGACTTTCACCTGTTGGCACAGGCTGGCTGGAGTCAAAACAAGCAGTGGAAAAAAGTCTCGTCTCTCTCTTCCTACTTTTTGGCATATGGCCAGTGTAAATAACACTTTTAAGGGACTAAAGAGCTTTGTGTTTCCAACAGTAAAACAGTCATTTGTAGAGATATTTGTTTCTATGCTGTATGCCTAACAAGGGTCATTATGTTACAATACAATCAGTAGTTACATAAAAAATACTTGTGTACCTGTAAATATAACAAAATATTTATATGTTAATTATAATTTCTGTGATATAGTGATCTTCTGATCTGCACTACATGTCTAAATTACTAATATTTTCAGCAGGTGAAAGAGATAATTTTATAATAAGCAATAGGTTACTGCAGTTGTATATATCACTTGTACAATTTTCGACCATTTGGAAAATCAACTTAAATACACCATTTGTGTACTGACGTTATTCTAAAGTAGTAGTGTTAATCATAAATTGTTAATGGCCAATAGTTAAACATCAGTATGGATTATGACATGGCAGAATTGACAGAAATGATGTGTGTTACTGTGAAATAGAAAAACCCCAAAGGTTAGAATTACCTTGCTGATATTACATACTGTATATTTTAGACAATAGTCAATAATAATGAATATCTTCTCCTCCAGGGCAAAGGAATATGAGAGTTTGATGGAAACAAAAAGTGCTGTCTCTGATTCCCCATTTAAAGCCAAGTAAGCATTTAACTTTATGTATTTTAGACATACACTTTTTTTCCCCCTGTCTATAGCAGAAATGCTTCTGAAATTTTCAGTGGAGCAAGTGTGGTAAGGTTCCCACTCAATATGGGGCATATTGCAGTCTTGAATTACAGATCAGTTTCTAATACAAAAGGTCAGACCTTATAAATGCAGTTTTTTCTGAAGGCACTGTGTATCTTAAACCATGTAAGATGCAAGAGTAAAGAGAATATGCTTATCCTTTTATTACCTGGAAACAAGAAGTTCCACTTTGTACTTCAAGACTGATGGTGAAAATTCAGCACTGGAATTGTGGGACTGAAAATCTTATGTTTGACCTCCATTTGGTCAGAAACAAAGGTTCGTATGGTGAAAGCACAGCTATTTTAATGCACAGATGTCTTAATCTGGCATTGAGCTTTTTAAAGAATAGGCCTTTTTATTGTCTAGGATAATGCACAGATGAAGACAGTTGGATGGTGAGATTAAAACAAGACCTGTTAACACTGACAAATTCCTCCTCCTTTGTTTGAAACTGAAAATTGCTCAGCTGTTGCTTTCTGATGCCATTGAAACTGGTTGGCAAATGGTGCAGAATATTTGTATTTCCAAAAAGCTTTTGATACAGTCTATCACCAAAGATTTTAAAAGAAACTGTATAGCTGTAGTGTAAGTGGAAATCAGTTAAGAATTTGAAAAGAAGTGGAGTTGGTGATCAGTCCTTGCACAATAGGGAGGTTACCAGTAGAGTTCTGCAGTTGTGTGATGTTCAACATATTCACAAGTGACTTGGAAAAAGAGGGCAAGCAGTGAGGTGACACAGTTTGATTATGATGATGCAAAGATATTCAGGCTAGTAGGGACAACAGCTGATACTGAATGATAATTTTGCAGAGAGTGACTTGGCAGTAAAATGGCAGGCAGGTGAAATCCAGTGTATGTTAAGTGCTGCAGAATGGAGGGGAAAGGCAGAACTCAATTATATCTTCATGTACAATGTATGGGCTTTGAATTTGCAGAAGTGATAGGTACTTCCAAGTAAATACCATCTCAATACTCTTAGCAGTTAAAGGAAATCCTTTCTTAAAATTATTTAGACAGGAGAAAAAACAGAACAAAGAATGTCATTATGTACAAATGCCTTGGTCATCTACATCTCTTGAATACTATGTGTAGTTCTGGTTCTTCATGTCAGAAAGGATATGCTAGGAATGTTAAAGGTTCAGTGAAGGCAGGAAAGGAAATTGGTAATGATTTCTGGTATAACTTCTGTATTAGGGATTAAGTAAACTAGTACTTCTCATTCTGGAGAAAAATGTGATAATGGGAGGAAATTTTAATGGGGATATGTTACAGAGATCTACATGGTTATAAATGGCATGGAAAAGATGGATGTTCATTATTTATAGTCCATCCTGGTACCAGAATGAGGGAGCACAGAATGAAGACGGAGCCAGGTTCCAAAGAAACCGAAGGCAGTGGTTCTTAATGCGGTGTGCAATTAGATGTATAGAACTCGTTGACAAAAATGACGCAGATGCCAGCAATTTACCTGCATTACTGGGGTTCTAGGAAACTACATCTAGCCCAAGAGATTTCTGAACTGAAAATTAAGAAAGAAACAGATTAGTAAAGAGGCTTAATAATGCTTGCCGTGTTCTTAATTTTCCTGAGACATGCATTTACAGTTTGCTCTTAAACAGGGTAGTGGGCAGATGGTATGCCTTTCTTATAGTTGTGCTCATGAAGTCTGTAGCAGGTCAGTCAAGAGGCTGTGGTGTCTCAACAGTTGGATTCAAAAACTTTCAACCTAAAATTACAACGACTTTCTAGATTGAGGTAATTTGTCTTCACACTGAGGTAATAACCTGTACCAGATCCTGTATGTTTCGTGGTTGCTTCCATCACTCATAAATTGCTGATATACTTGAAGGTAGCATTTTTTTGGTTAAGATGTTCAGATCATTGCTGTTAGGCTTCCTTGATTGTGTATACAACTAGCTGGTACACAATGTGTTTTACATAGTCTTTTCAATAGTTTGAAAACCTGCTTCTGAATCTTAGTTTGTATTTTAAAATAATAAAAATCCGTCACTGATGTTTGACCTAAGAAAATGAAACATCTCCACCAGATGGCACACCTGCATAAACACATTGGGGAGGAAGGTTCTGTTGTTGACTTTGTTTCTTAGTAATCAGGACTTCAGTTTTCAAGATTAATTTCATGGCAGATTAAGACTTCTAGATTTGTAGCTTCTCTGTTTTGCTTTTCTTTGCTACCGGAAAGAAAAAATTAGGGTCTAGTTGTCAGAAAGTAGAATTGGGTGCGTTTGAGTGACTCTGAAAATAATAGTAAACTGTAGTGCTTCCACTTCAGTTTCCTTCTGACTTCTGTTTATCAGTGATGTAATTTGGTCAGTTGTGTCTCAATTGCAGTGCAACAGAAACTCGGATTTTTTAAATATTTTTTTTTTGTAATGTTGACTCATCCTGAATTTACAGTTTTCATTTCTCTTTACTTAATGAAATGCTAGTATGCTTTCAAGCAGAATCTTCTGTTCCATCTACTTTCTTATTTTCTTCCTTTGTTGCCTCCGTTGGGGCTGTACCCTTTTAGATGTGAACTAGCATGATGGCCACTGTGTAGCTCACTTTCATCACAGATCTTCTGGGAGATTTTTTTTACAGTCTTTATGTAGAAACCTAGTGATTTAGCAGATACCTACATCTAAATTTTGAAAACAGAATTTCAGTATCATAGTTGTTGTTATTTCCAAAATTACATAACTTTTTACCTACTATGAGGGCTTAAATGTTTGCGAACTTCTTTGAAATCAGTGGAGTGAGAGTGGGAGCTCAAGTCTGAACTGACTTTTTAAGAAGAAAGAGAGAACTGTCTATGAGTCAACGAGAAGCCCAGTTCATTTCTGTTAAAATTTGTTTACTTTACACAATACATAATACAAAGTGGAAGAAGGATAGGGAAGGGTGCTTTTATCTTTCTGTAAGAGAGAGGGCGAGAAATTTCATGAGGCAAGAGTTTTAGCCCAGGCCATATCTGTTTACATGGAGAAACATATTCTTAATACAGGAAAAATTAATAGGAAGACATCTTTTTAACAGAACTAAGTACATTATCCTACTTAACCAAGAACAGTAGGAAGAAGAATCAGCTGAAAGAAACAAACAGTAGTAGATCTCCATTGAAACATTATTACATTGAGAAGCTATGAAAATAGTTAGACTATTGCCTTTTTAGCCAGAACACAGTGTACTGTACTATGAGCTAATATTAACTGCTACTGTACCTGGCTGAGAGAAAGAGCAAAGTCTTGCCAATACTAGGAGTCTTAACAGCTCTCAGGAGATCTCTAAAGTTATTGAGAAAAATCGTATCACAGAACAAAGGGGGTACAAACTGAGAGTGCTAAATTTGTTCTTTGTGTCAAAACAAAGGCCAATACTTTTTGTTTATCCCAAAGGAAGGTTTGAGGTATTCAAATCGGAGTGGCAGTATAGTGATGAGTAGAAAATACTTTTTAACTTAGTGGGCTGTGGAATTTAAAAATGAAAAAAAAAAATTATTTAAATTCCATTTAGAATGCAACAGAATCAGTAGGTTTGTTTATTTGCTTAACAGAAGCAAATGTGATTTAGAATGAAATCATTAAATAGAATTTTATTTTTTGCTTACTTGCTTATGCCACATTTCTTTACTCGCTCCTCTGACATTGATAGTGTCTTTGCAAACAACTAAAACAATTTATGGAATGCAATTTCTTATCTGATTTTAGTTCTTAGTCATGTTGTCAGTTGTTACAGAGGAAAGACAGAACCCAGAATTAGTCTTTGGCAGGTAAAAAGCCTTTTTAGATCACCTTTAAGATTAAGCCACCTTAATATTATGAGACAACTGATTTCCTACTGCAACTGATAGATTGTTTCAGTAGTTCTTATTAGCTTAAGGTTTGCAGATTTATAAAACCTTTTGCACTAAGGTGGCACTGGTCCAAGTGCTTTCTAAGCTTTACATTGGTAATGCACTAATATCAATAAGCAGACAGGGTTTATCCTGCTTTGATAGACATGGTATGTACACCTTTTCCAGTTTCAGAGTGCTGAATCTGATTCCTGAGTGGGATTGTAAATGGCTCTAAGTAGCTCTTTTTTAGAAACAAGAGTTTTAGAAGAAGTCTGGAACAGATTTTTTTTTTCCTGTTAGTATCTATTAAAAAAAAATTGTGTCCCTTAATGGGCAGGGGGACACACATGACAGTTCTAAATACTGCCTTGTTTGGTAGGTATTTAGCTCTCTGAACTATTTCATGTGGCGAGAGAGACTTTCAAGGAAAAGGACTATGGACATTCTCACCTGTTGCTCCTGGCCTTTTTCCACTGTGCATTAACTCGTTGGTCACTTGATGGCACTTAGGTAGTTTTATAAATGCTAGTGGACTCTTGATGGATTTGTAATATTAATTCGTATTCTCTGGGAACTGATCTGAATGTACTTATTTAGTGTCCCGTCTGTTAAGTTTGCCTGTCAAAAGGTGTGTTATTGATGGTTCTTTCTGTTTGCAGTGTTCTTGGGTGTCCATTAGAGCATGTTTTTAAAAAGGAAGGAAAACATTTTCACAAAATTAGAGTGTTATTTGTATCTATTTAGTATCTTCTAATCCAAAGGCCATATATTTCAGTGTCAAAGCAATCTGCAGGTAGCAAAGTGTGATTGTTATCCTTTAATACAAGCAGGGAAACTAAGGTAGTGAAAGGTTGCCATGTGCATTAAAGGGAGTTAGCAGGATTGCAGGGAAAAAAAAATAACCCCCTAGTCTAATACTTTAGCCAGTCTCTCCTCATGCAAGAAGGAATTGTTCTTTTCACTTTTTTTTAACCTTTTTTTTTTTTTTTAAACTGTGTAAAGGGACATTTCAGATAGTATGGAAATGGGAACCACTATTATCCTGAAAAAGGACTGCAGCACAAAAAGAGGA